TTTGAGAAACACTGATCTAAAGGGTATCCAGCTTTGGGAAGGTTGACATAAAAGGATCAGGTGGTCACTTCTCTGTATATGATTGTGACATTAAGTTATTTTTGACTCCTAGCAACCACATATATTTTCTCCAAGATGATTTATCCTTAACCTGTTTTTTCAAGTCTCCCAACAGTGCACTCATTGCCACTGTAACCAAGTCCATCCACCTTGCTGCTGGGCATCCTCTTCTCTTTCCTTCTACCTTTCCCAGCATTAAAGCCTTCTCCAGAGAGCCAGGTCCTCACATCATGTGCCTGAAGTAGGATAATTTGAGCCTGGTCATTTGTGCCTTGAGTGAGAACTCTGGGTTGATCTCTGTACATGACAGCTTCAGACAGGTTGATTTGAAATTATATTTAACAATCATATAGTCTTTCAGTGAGGTAGATCAAAGAGATCCACCCTTTCTCATGTCTTTTATGTGTGTTGGAACTCCCAGGATTTGTCATAGTTGGAGGGCATCTGGTTGAAGAAGGCTACTAACAAAGTCCTTCAAGTAATTAAGTGACCAAGAGAAGGGCTATTTTCCATTTACAGAGGCTCCATTATTCAATATTTGTATCTAGATTTTCCTCAAGAAGCCCAAATTGACAAAGATGGTCTACTCTCTTTACGCTTGCAGGCCTGCCTCTTGAGTAGGATTTCAAGCTAGGTCTGCCCAAAGTAAGTCCACCAGTTATACATGACATCTATGTGCAAAGTATCCCTCAGAACAAGAAGAGACACTCTTGGGGCAGTTTTCAAACACAAGGCTGTTCACACAAAGTTGCATACACAAGGAGTGGCCGCATGCAACTTTGAGCTGCTTTGCCCTAGGCACTCAGGCATGGTGCCAGATGGAACAGTATTACTCTTCAGCATTAATAGGCATTGTTGCGAAAGAGGAAATGTGCAGTTTACATGACTAGATTTGCATAATGTTTGCATATGCTAACATGCATATGGGTTAACATTTAGAAAAAAAGAGATTAAAATGTAGGCAGAAATATAAATATAAATGACCATATAAAGAAAGATTATGTGCAGGTGACACATGTAGCTATTTCACTGTTGATGGGCTAAATGTTGTAGATGTTACCTTGGATCTTTTAAGTTTCCCGAGCTTTGAATCTTGGAAGTGCACTTGGATCAGAAAGCTGTTCCAATAAAGGGCTATCCTCTGAAGTAGGCTGCATTTTGCACACACCCAACTTTCTTCTTACCCATGATTAACTGATCCACAGTTTATTTCAATAACATAATTTTTGGGCTCCACACTACCCAGAACCATGAACAAACAGATTTGCACAACACACTTCACTAAAATATGGTTGGCCAATTCATGCATAAGTGTGTTGTTTGCCTCCCTTTCAGACTACTTTATCAGTAAATTAACTATGGCAACATGATCATCCTTATGAAATAGTCCCAATTCACTGGTATAACAAGAATGAAGAGGGACCTGGGCAAGCTCTGCCTTATCAGCAACCCATCTCTCCACCAACTGCTGGTGTTCTCTCATTTCTCCATCCCATGTCTTCTTCACATTTTGCTGGGCAACAGCACTTGGCATCTTTTCTCTCTGTTATGAGAATATAGAAGCTTGCAATGCAAAGCTACAATAATGCCTGATAAAATTCGCAAAAGGATTTTCAAGACGAGGATGACAGCATAATAGGGCCTCTTCTCCCCTCCCCTCCACAAAAACGTTTATCCTGCACTGAATTTGGGGCATCCCCAGTATGGTTTTAATTATTAGCTCTTCAACATAACTAACGTTACGTGTTTCTTGGTAGTGTTCAGAAAAAGAAAGAGCAAAGTTAAATTCAATACTGGGCACCACACTTCAAGATAGATTCTGACAGACTAGAATAAGTTAAAGACCACCAGCATGAATCATCAGGGACTAATGATTAAATCCTACAAAGCACAGCTGAAGATCCCAGGTAGGATGGTGCATTTCAAATACCTGGGAAGTCATCACACAAAAGAAGGCCAAGCCTCTTCTGTATCATTCCACAGAGCAGGATGACAAATAATGGATTCCAGTTTGCAGATTTCAGTTTTGAAAAAATATCCAATAGTAAGAACAGTTTGACTACTAAGGGAGGTAGCAGACTCCCTTTGTTATGTTTTCAAGTACAGCCATCTGTGAGAAATATTTCAGTTTCAATTCTGTCACATAAACGAGGGGTGCTAAATGGCCCATCCACCTCTATTATCCTCTGATTAAACACTGGTGGCCGGAGAGTTAAATATCAGTTTTAGTACAGCTCAGAGTCTTATTGAGAGTAATTGGTTACAGCTATGGACAATTTGTTCCTTCAACTCAGAACTTTCTGCAAACTTTATAGGAAATTTTGACATACTTCTAACGTACAGACACTCTTGGGATCATGATGGTAGGGAGCTAAAAAGACATTTCACTGTTAGTAGTAAGGCTAGCTACATTCTTTGGTGCTTCTGGTTTTGTTTTAGAAAACAAGTCAAGGCGGCCTTACTTTCATTTACATTTGCTGCCCTCTCATCTAATGAACACACAGTAAGCAGCCCACTAACATTGAAAGCTTGCACACACTAAATCCTCATGTGCTTCTTTGCAGAATTGTGACATAATTCAAGATGCAATCCTGGCTGAAAAAGTGACTCATTCGTGAAGCAGAGTATCTTTATGGCTGTTAAGGAGAGGGACATGGCCAAAATGTATAAGTGTGCATGTGCGTCAAGTCCTGACAATGAGAACTATTAAACAATGAAACTGTTTGGCTCCTGGAGTTGTGGGTGCTCCATTGCTGGAGGTTTTCAAGTCAAGACTGGACAATCATTTGTCTGAAATGATATGAGGACTCCTGGTTGGACTAGAAGACCTCCAAGGTCCCTTCCAACCCTATGATTCTACGATCCTAAATCAGGTTTTTGACTCCAGGTAGTCCCTGGACTAATACCTGCAGTTTTCTTGGCATGGTTTTTCGGAAGTGGTTTGCCATTGCCTCCTTCCTAGGGTTGAGGGGAAGGGACTGGCCCAAGGTCACCCAGCTGGCTTTGTGCCTAAGGACTAGAACTCAGTCTCCTGGTTTCTAGCCTGGTGCCTTAACCACTAGACCAAACTAGCCAAAATATGACATTGTTAACCTTTCAGTGTATCAGTTAAAGAGCTAGCTCACCTGATCTCTCAGTTCTACAACCAAGTAGCCATCACTTTTGTTTTTAATTCACTTAAGAGGATTCAAATAGAGTCCAGATTCTTGTTGTCGCTGCTGCATTATTTAGATCTCAGAGGAACCTTAGAAGATATTACCCCCTTTAATTTCTTATCACAGCCTTTGTCTTAATAGGAAGATGGTCTACCAATTGTGTTTCAGGTACAAAGCATTTTGTTCCCATCTTTCCTTGTCAACTACAATATGTGTAGGCCTTGCCAGTGTGTTTTCTCCCCACTGAAACTTCTGGATCAATTGAACCATTAGGAAAAATAATCCCACTGATTTTTTCTCTGTATAAATTTCCAGTTGGTCTCTGCTGCCCCATCTCCTGCCATTATTGAACTCTTTCTTATTTTTATTCCATGGTTGCCCAGTTGAATATAAGCCACCAACAGCCATTGCAAAAGCCTTATCATCCTTACTCCATACATATCTGGAAACAGACAATATTCCTGCCTCCTTTTTTTTAAAAAAAAAACAAGTTTCTGGTTCAGGATATGCTGTAGGTATAACCATAATGTTAGCTATGGATAGCCAGTGCAGACATCTACTGTAGCAGCAGTTCAGACTTTTCTAAACAACCTTGCCCACTACCAATGCACTACTATGGGCTATCAAAGGAGGGTGGAATACTGTTCATGGCCAATCAAGTTTGCCTACCCATTATAATGTCCAATGGGGATTGATGGCTCCATGGGCTTCCACGCTGATGCCAGCATAGAAGGTGAAGAAACTTTTCTATTAAAGAGCCATATTACTACCTAGACACTACTTAGATACTTAATGGGGAAAAGAACAGAATCAACAACGAAGCACTCAACAGGGGTACCCCCATTTTCCTCTGTTTGGTTATTTTGAATTGTTAATCCATAAACCATACAAAATGTCAAGTTATATACCAACTCACTGGAGAAATAGCACCATCCATTGGAATACCAATGTTGCTTACATTCTAAAGGAGTCAAAAGCCCCAATTTCATTAAATGGTTCTATTTATATGAGTTCATCTGATCAGTAAACTGAACTCAGTCCGTGAGGCGTTCTTCCATATGCAGGTGAAGAAAACATTTAATCAAGCATTTCCTCTAAAGACAAGTGCCAATTTGAAATGAAGTTACATTTAATTGCCAGAACATCTGAGGAATACTTTTTACAGTGTAACACAGTCCATAAGTTTCTGTATTTTCAGTCTGAGACAAACACATACATGGATAGCTTTGCATTACAGGAATGTGCAACAGAGTATTATACAGAGCTGAATGGATCACTATAGACTTGGTATTTTCTAGTAAGCAGATCACCATGTTGCATTCACCTAAACATTTAAACATGGATACTATTTCAAGTTTATATTGGTAAATGCTGTACTGGAGAGACACCTGGTTCTTACAATAGCTTTGCCCAACTTATTAATACACTTGTTTAAATGGTGAATTATCAGCCTGCCAGTAATTCTAGCCATATCGTAACTTACTGGGCAAGAATGCCATTTTTTTCAGACTAGTTGTTCAAAGTACAATTGCTTTCCAGTTTAAAACTGATCTTAAAACCCACTTATCCACTTTTGTATCTATCCTTTTCTCAGCACTGATTCCATAGCACAGAAACTTGCCGGAGGCCAATCCGTAACAAAACATGTTCTAGGAAACAGTACTTTGATATCTTGGACAAGATACCATCAAGGGTGTTTCAGCTGGCATAATTTAGAGCTAGCAACTGCATTTTTAGAACTCACCAGTTAGGAGTCACATAATATTCGCCCATTTTATAATTCAAATATTCTTTCACCTTGACATTTGGGTGGGCAGTAAATAGAGTGCTAGAAAGTTGTTTTTTTTTTAATGGCAATAATATTGTTAGGAAAAGTCTACAATAGCACTTGACTATTTTATGTTCTTGGCAACTCAGTGCTGCTGACATCATGATCTTCCCTTGTGCAGAAGTGAGTACAAATTTGTGTAGCTTTGTCCATAAAGAACCATTAATTTCTCTTTCATTTTTCACTTTTAGTGCTTTTAAGCATTTATGAAAAGTGAAAGTGAGGGACTAGGAGACACCATAGAGTGCTTGTTTTCTTCAATCCACATGGGCAGAAAATTACCACCAGTTCCAGTTAGGTCTCAAGCAAATTGCTTCCTTGGCTTAAGAAGTTCCAAGGTCTTACTTGGAATCCAAAGTAAGCTATCCAAAGGTTGAAGAATGAGGCAGATAATGCAGACTGAAGACAGTAAGATCAGTGTCCAGTTGTTCCTTATATCCTTTTGACACAACAATCCAGTTATAGTTTTGCCAATAGCACCCACTTCTGGTTAAGAGAAACGAGAGTGCCTGGGAGCATCTCAGAGCTGCCTTCCACAACACTTGTCCTCTATTTGCATTGGTGGGCTGTGGGAAACAATTTTTTTAAAAAGTCAGGTGATTACTTGGATGTATATACAAGTATTTCTTTAAAAAAAAACTGTGAAGTACTTTAGGTTGGTGTTGACCATATAATACCCGTGAATGCCTGGGTAAGCCACTGCATCCCAATTTTGCATCCCAAAATGACACTTGCAGCGCTCCGTAATTAAATAAGACCTAGAAGTCTTGTGAAGTTGACAAATCTCATAAGAATAAACAAAATCTCATAATTTTTCAAATGAGAACACTGAAATTTAGAAATCTTACATAACAGAACTATATTCTCACAAAACCACACAAGATTTTAGCTATTTTTAATTGTTTCAATTTAAGGAGGGTGCCACTGCTGCCAGTCAAAAGCCCGTGTTGGTATATGGGGCCTGAAAAGGTTGCTGACTGTTCAGTTGAATTCCGATGGGTTTTTCAGAAGCTAGCTTAAGTAGGATTACCTCTACATTAAGCATCACTCACCAACCTAATTTATGCAAATGGATTTCCAAAAGGATCATTACAAGGAGTGGAAGACAACTGCTGTTGTTGAGCTGTGATCTGGAAAAAAGGGAAGAGAAAAAGAAAACTTCCACCATGATTTGAAGATATTTCCAACTTTTTCCCAAGTCAAAGGTACGTGAGCACTACCGTATCTTCTAGAACTTATTTGGCATACAAAGGCAAAACTAAAAGCTGTAATTTTGTAGGAGCTAATGTTATAACCATATACTTCTCAAGGGAAAGCTGAGCACGGGGATATCAGTTCTAATCACATTTTATGAAATCTAGAGTGCGGATTCTTTACAGAGATGGAATACAAGCAACACAGTCCAGCTTAGCCATTTCTACACCTTGAAAAACTGCAGGACATGGAGGACTTCAGAATATCTGCCACAGCAGCTTAGTCCTGCCAATGAATGCTGCTCAGACCAGAATTTGTCCAGCCTACTGGGTCATTTGGTTGAGTGTCAGTGCAATCTGCCCACATCTAGCCCACTTGAATACATACTTATTAGCTGTAAATCAAAGGTAGCTTGAGAATTATTCATATATCTAAAACTATCGTTTTAGGAAAAAAGAACCAAGAAGCCTTTCCTGAACCATAAGTATTTAAATGTTTCATTAAAACTATCTGTAGCTTTTTCCAGCACTATCAGCCTGTCAGATGTTAACCAAAGGTGTGAGTTAGCTACAGAGTTTGTCCTACAAGACTAGCTACACAGAGAAATATTACATTTGATTATGTAACTAAATTTGACTTGAACAATGTGGTGGGCCAACATCTGGGTAACTCTTAGAGTCTCTTAGGCAATGAAAGGAACCTCCTCTCTCTATAGAGGGTCTCCCTTGTGAATTAGAACCTTTTCTGAAACTAAGAAGAATATCCACAGATAAAATTCTTTCCACTTCACAGGGAATCCCCATGCATAGAGGACAATAGGACAACTAATGGGGAGGAGCTCACACGCTCATCACTGTTCCTGCTCCTCACACCTAGAGGCCACACATTGCTAGATGAATCAACAGCTTTGCCATTCAGTTTAACTGCTTATAGGAGCTCACATTCTTTCAACTTGAGAGAAAGCACTGGATCATAGCTAACCGTAACATAAATTTGTTGGGTTTTCAAACAACACTCTAAGCTAGGCCAAAGTGGATTTTGTGGTTTAACATTTTATGGCAATCCAGCCATTGTCTTAATATTTTGTGTGAGCTGAACCATTGAGTTAAGCCTATTTAACAGTCTGTTTATTTGAGCACAAAGTTTCTATGTTCACATAACATGCTTTTTTCGTAGCCCACAGTTAAGCCATGGTGTCAGTCACTGCGTGTGAAGTGGAGTCCAGATACTTACTAAACCTTGTGAGGGAGCAGCAAAAGGATCCATCTTGAAAGGATTTTCAAAGCGGTCTTCAGCAGGCTTGGAAATAACGGACCCAACATTTTGCCTCAGAACAGGCTTTGGAGGCCCTATGTTGAACAAAGGCACACTTTAAAAAAATATCAAATTGCATTTTAAGAGGTTCACCAAGAAGGTCATTACATAGCAAAGAAATACATGTTTGGCATCAAACATCCACTCTACAGGAAACAGCACCCAAACCTGATTGTCCAATGAGGATACCTCCACAAGGACCTTGCATAATGTATGTGTTTGTGCATACTCCACGTCAAGACTAACTAAGCAACCTACACAACACACTGTACACCCATGTTCCCCAGATTTCATGCAACCAACACAAGTCAGTATCAGGGACCCAGGTGTTTTCTTTCTTTTTTTAATTTCAAGGTAGTCCAGACAGGAAACCAAAACCATGAGTACTAACACTACTTTATTGTAAGGTTACAGTAACAGAATCTTGCAAGTCTGAAAGCCCCTCCCTACTCCCCGGCTCTACTTTCCAGAGAACTAGGGAGAGTCCCTTCTGAGACGCTTTCTCCACCCCCATTCCTTCTATGGGCTGAGATATTTCTTGTCTGACCATTGCCCTAGCTGCAGCTCTTCCTCCTGTCTCCCAAGGTTATTCTCACAGCCCATTACAATGAGTCTACAGCTTTCATTTTGACTTCCCTACACTGGCTTATTAGCATAAGCTTTTGAGAACATTTCTGACTTTCTCCACCCCCCTCTTCTCTACATACCAGGATGCTTCCACTTTTACTTGTGGAAAACCTTCAGCTTTTTTTTCCAGACAAAAGCACTTTAACAGCCACTGTTGCATCTAGATGGCACACCTTTTGTAGCTCTACACCCAACTTCCTAAAAGTCAAGGGGAAAAGTCCCAGGCAGATTCAGAACTCGATCCCAAGGGCAGCTTTCTTTAGCAAACCAGGAACTCTAGAAGCACCCTGAAGAAAAGAAGGTGCTTTTGTGGATACAGAAGAGAGACTTGCCTCAGGAAAGCAACAATGCCAGCTTCTTAGTTTAACAGGTCTCTTGGTGTCAATTCAAAGCTTTTATTATTATTGTTATATCTCATTTGTCGTCAACCCAAGACAGCATATACTGCACCCTTCCTCAGCCTGGGACCATCCACATTTGCAGCCATCAACTCCCACAATTCTCAGCAGCGGCTGGGGAATTATGAGTGTGTGTGTATGTGTGTGTGTGTGTGTGTGTATGTATGTATATATATGTATGTATGTATGTGTGTGTGTGTGTGTGTGTGTGTGTGTATATACACTCCACATATCGGACTCTCTCGAGGTGGAGAACTCTTGTATAGAGAGTTCGTGTTCTCCCCAC